CCGCGCAGCGGCCCGCTCTCCAGCACCTCCCGGTAGGTGATCGCCTCTTTCTTCTCCTTCACTTTCTGGTCAAAAGACTTGGAGACGAACGCCGTCAGTTCTTCCATCGCCACCGATGCCCTGCAGCCCCGCGCACAACCTCTCACCGCCAAGCCCCGCTCTTTTTTTCCTTCTTCTTTTTTTACTGCTCCAGCCCCCCCAGTAATAACACATCAATGGGGCAGGGGATGGGGTGGAGAGGGAGGAGGAGGAAGAAAGAAGAAAAAGAAGAGAAGAAAGAAAAAGGAGAAGTAGAAGGAGAAAAAGAAGTAAGAAGAGGAGGAGGAGGAGGAGGAGGGGAAGGGAGGTAGAAGAAAGAAGAAAAAGGTCTCAAATTTGGCTATTTTACTGAATTTCTACCTGTAGTTGTGTGAATATTTTTGGCTGAAATGAAGAATGTGAGGAGGAGAGCAAATGGGCTGATTCTGGAGACAAAGAACCCCTTGTCTGATTTGTTTCCACTTTGGTGGTAGACGATTGGAGGAGGGGGAGGAGGAGGAGGAAGAGGGAAGGGGCGGGGGCCGAGGGAAATATGAACTGAGGCTTCCCTGCCGGAGCCCGCTTGTTCAATGTTAAGATCTTTGACAATTCTTCCTGCGGAGAGTTCAGATCTGATAGCGACGCTGCGCTTGAAGTCTCACTATTTATACTTCGCCAAGGCGGCCCCTTGTTCTGAGTAAATTACCTCCCTTCGCAACTCGGAGGGAGCCCCTTCCCGGGAAGCACCCGCGCCGCTACCTGCGGGTGGGGGTGGGAATGGGGGGGGGAGCAAGAGGGAGAGAGGGGGGAGAGAGAGAGAGAGAGAGAGAGAGAGATGAGAGATTAAACTAGAGTCCGAGCAGGCTGGGTCTGGAGTGGGAGGGCAGCGAAGGGGGACGGGAAGGGGCGGGAAGAGGAGGCAGGTCCCAGGCCGTCCGGGTTTTCCGAGAGCCTCGGCCGCCTGCGCACTTGGCCATTAATCCAGGATTGACAAGAATCCCTAATTAATTTAATTAGGCGTGGATTTTGCGTTGGTGTCAAGACTTAGTTAAACACCAGGGAGCTGGACCTACTCCGCCGGGGCGTGGCCAAAAGGAAACTGACAAGTGCGCGGCTGCAGGAGGGAGTCCGGGATCCCGGCTCCGCGGCAGA